TGGAGTCCATTCTGACCCACAGCGCCCCTAGAGGACAGAGTGGAACTGCCCACAGGGTTTCCTAGGCTGCCTCCTTTATGGAAGTGGACTGCCTCATCTTTCTTCCACAGAGTAGGTCTGAACCACCAACCTTTCAGGGAACAGCGAGCACTGAACCACTGTACCTCCAGGACTCCTTCCTCTGCAGTGTGGTACACACAGGAGCTAATTTAGGTGACAACCCAGAGGCAGCCACCCTTCTCATCAAGAAAGCTCAGGCAGGGGGTCCCCAACATCACCCCTCAGGAGAGGTGCTCCCCAGAGGCAGCTCTTGGCCAACAACGGCTAGCCGCGCCCTGGGACACTTACGTGGGTGATGGAGCCGCGGTAAGTGATGGGGCTCTCTGCTGGCGCCCGCGTGCTGGGGATACCTTTGCTGATGCTTCCTCCTGGGACCGAGCCCAGTGACGTCCCTGGAAGACACAAGGCTGCTACTCTGAAAGCCGCCCCAACTGTGTCCTGGGTTATGTGCAGATGTGCAGACAACAAGGAGACCACTGTGAAGACAGGCTCTCTGGGGCCCTGGGAGCTGACACATTTTGGGAGGCTGGGATAAAGGGTCCTGGAAGGGCCTGTTCCTGCCTCGATCCCCTGGGAATGGCAGGGCAGAGGCTGGCGCATGGGTCAGTCCAGGCCCCACCCACCCTGGGCCATCCCCCCGGTGCCTCACCTCTTAGCACAGACGTCTCCTGGGCTGTGGGCACCCCCAGACTCTCTGGTGGCCCAGCCTGGCTGCGCGGGGACAGCTGCTCCTGTTTCACACTGCTGAAGGGCACTGAGGAAGGGGTGAGAGGATGAGCCAGGCCCCACTGGGGAGGTGGCGTGTGACGGCGTAGGACCGTCCCTTCACACTGGCATTCTGGCCCTTCCCAGATCCACCCAGCGCTCCAAGGGACAGGATGCCCCTCCCTCGGCCCACCCTAGTACAGCAGAGCCCAGCCTGGGGCACCCGGACCCTTACCCAGCTTCTTGGGGTCCATGGCCAGGGGCAGCCCCATGGTGATGGGGCCCACAGGTGCCTTGGCGTGCTCCGAGTACGGGACGTGGAGCTGGACAGACACGCCCTGCGGGGGCAGAGGCCATGAGTCACCAGAGCCCCCATGGTGTCCCTTCACCTGCATCGACACCCCCTCTTACGCGGGCCTGAGAGGACAGGGAACCTCGGATGGCACCATGGCTGCCAGCCACGTGACCTTGGATGAGTCAGCGCCTCTCCTGGGGCCTTGAGTCCCTGCAGTGGGAGCTTTCACCTGGCAGTTTACATGGAGAGATGCACAGGCGAGGCCTGGCACCGGGCTGCAGGCAGATGGCCAGATGCTGGTGCCCTGCTGAGCGCCTCATGGACACTGCGTGCCCCTTGCCGTTTCACAGACGGGGAAACCAAGGCACAGAGAGGCTTGGCGTGTCTGGAGAACCCACAAGGCACTTCTACTCTGTCTGTGGGTGGGGACAAGTCCAAGGCCCTCAACAACGACCTGGTCTGGGAGGGCCTCCACAGGACAAGACCCTGGGGCTCCAAGGACCTGGGGCAGGCTCCAGCCCGCTCAGACCCCAGTGCTGCTGGGAACGGGGACAGCTCAGGCCCCTCAAGAGTCCACCCTCCACCCAGACCTCCTGATGCCATCCTAATGCGCCCACTTTACAGATGGGAAGACAGAACCCCAAGCGGAACAGGGGCTGCTCTCTGGGCACCCACCACACAGCCACTCTGCCTCACCTGGGAGACGGCCCCCAGGGGCCTCTCGAGAACGCTGGGGTGTTTAGTGGAGGAGATGAGGGGTGGCGGGTTGGAGATGGCGGGCGGGCGGGGCAGCACGGGCCGGGCACTGTCGTGGAGGCCCAGGGGCAGTGGGTGACCTGTGGGCACATGTCTGTCCATCAGAGGGCCTGGAGTGGGCAGGCTCCTGTTGGACACACCCTCCCTGTGCTACCGCCCACCCACAGCCCTTGTGCCCTCGGGTCTGTCGTGGTCAGCTGCTGCTTCCTCCACCCACCCCACTGCCTGGCAGCCAAGGCTAAGCCTCTGACTGTCGCCTGGACCACACTGGCCCCCCGTTCCCACTGCCCTCACAGGATGCAGAGGGTCCACAACTTCACGCCCTCCCCGGCTCTAACCCTTCCTTGGCTCCCCACTGCCCTCAGGACAGTACCTCTCCCACCCCCGCCCCACGGGGTCACCCGCTCTGGCCGCCATTGGCTGCCCAGCCTCCCTGGGCACCAGGCTTCCTCCGGCAGCAGGCCCAGGCTCCCAACCGTTGCCTGCTCTTTCCTGGCCCCGAACCTCTGCAGAGGCTGTTCCCGCTGCTTCCCCCTTCTCCCCTGGCTCACTCTGCCCACTTGTCCCTCAGGACCTGTACTGCTTAGAAAGGCATCTGCTAACACCTCAGTCCACACTGGCTTCTGGCTAGGCCACATCTCTCTCTGGGGGCCCAGCAGAAACAGAGAAGCCCAGGAAGCGCTCTCAAACCCAGCCTCACAGCGTCCCTAGAGTGCAGCAGCCATTTCCTGCCCTCCCCAGACCTTTCTCTCCGTTTGCTTTCTCCATGCTAAGCCTCTTGCCAGTTCAAGCACCATCTGTGGCTCCCTACTGCCCAGTGCTCAGCCTCAGTCCTGCAGACACAGATGGCCTGCATGCCCTCCACAGGCCCCGCCAGACACTAAGACACATGCAGAGCCAAGCCAGGCCACCAGTCGGTGCCCGCTGAGTGTTCCCCGGCTGACTCAGCGTGCTGGCTGTCCCCAGCCAAGGAGCCCAGCCAAGGCTACTCACCAGGTGGGGCGTAGGAGAAGGCTGAGGGGTCCGGGGCGTGCGGGGAGGCCTTGATCACCTCTCGGGGTGCCACGGGGAAGGGCAGCCCCGGCGTCCAGCAGGGGGGCTCCGTGGGCAGCTTCTGGCCGTCGGCTGCAAAGGCCGGGAAGAACACGGGCTTCTCTGGCAGGGGCGCAGCAAGATGGTCAGGCCGCGCGTGGCCACCCTCAGGGACCCCACAGCCTGGTCACCTAACAAGGAGACCCTCCCCAACCCACCGTGCTATCCTTTGGTGGGACAGGGTCCCACAGAGCACCCTGCAATGTCTGCTCAGCACGTGGGTGTCGCCTGTGGGTGGGCTGGGGCTCTCAGTGTAGGCTCCAACCCCATGGCAGGCAGGCTAGGGGCCATGCCCGCACCCCTAAACCAGCCTGCAGGGCCCTGCCCACGTCGTCGCTAAATGCTGTCTTACAGCAGCAGCCACACCCAGCCATTCATTCTCCATCCCCAGCACAGGGGAGAGGCTGCCACAGGCGTCACATGGCCGGCAAACATGAGGATGCTGGCTCTTGGACCCCCACTCTGTACCTGAACCGGGGGTCAGGAATACTTTACTGGCAGTATGTGTGAGTGGGGGCAGGGCAGGGGGCTAAGACCAGTCCTCCCTGCACCCCGCCCAGGCCACAGCCCGAGACACGCCCGATCACAGCAGCCTCAGGGCAGCTGCTGTTTGTTGAGCACGTACGTGTGCTAGACTTAGTGCCAAGTCCTCCACCACCAAGGGAAACATGCCACCAGCAAGCTTGCAGGTTGCAGCTGCTCCGTGACCCACCTTACAGAGGACAAACTGGACTCATCCAAAGCCACCAACAAGTATCTGTCCCAGCCAGGACTGAACCATTAACCTCCTAGCCCACACAGCGCAAGTAACACCATGACCATAACATAACAAGAGACAAGGTACACTGTGCTAGCGCCTCCTCCCGCCTTTCCCAGGCAACCTGAGGGCTGTGTGTGTACTAACTCCCTCAGCTTCCGACACCCCATGTGGAACTAACTAGAGTCATCCATCCCTACTCCCTAGACAGGAAAATTCAGACTCAGAGAGGTGACGTCACCTGGTCAAAGGCCCTAACTAGTGACTGGCAGAGGTGAGATGTGACTCAGATGGGCTGTGACTGTGACCCTAATCACTGTACCACACTGCCTACAGGAAGAGACATGATATTAGCCCCAGATTCTTGGACCCAGGGATGCCCCGTGGATACACCCAGTGGCCACGGGCTTGGGTCTGTCCTCAGAGTCTTCCTGCTGGCCTCTTGCCCTTTGCTGGAACTTGTCCTAAGCTCTGCGCCCAAGTCCCTTAGACTCAGCGTGAAGCATGAGACCGAAAGCCAGATGAATTATGGGAAGATATCAAGAACATTATCCATGAAGAAAGCAAGAGATCACTAAAAAGACAAGAAAAGAAGA